CACTTGGAAGTGAACTCGTTACTTGTATCAAAGATGTCCAACTAATATGATAAGATTGATAACTAAGTTGAGCACGAAGCGCCTATCTAATGGCAGACGTGCCAGTCTTATATAGAACCTTCGTTCCCAATATATCGCTACCATCGCTATCGATAAAATCGATCATCACTTTTATCGATTTCGATCAAGTCGATATAGTCACGTGATTTCTGGTCGCTGAGAAATTCCTTGGATCGTCTGGCTAGCCTGATGCAGCCACCCGATCCTTTCTTTTGGTTAAATACCAATGGGTTCTCCTGTCAGCGAAGTGCTGTCTGGGCCCATGGTCCCAAATGTCACCTGACGATTTCGTAATCGTGACATAATACTAAATAAGCGCTAACGCTTTATCTACCTTAGTTAAGGGAGATTACTTATAATACTACTACTAAAACGTAATTATATTAAAATATCGCTCGGTAGTTCTTTTTATTATAGCTAATAGATTACTTTTATTTAATAATTAGTTATATAAGTAGTGTGATGGTTCTGACCATCACGTGTCACTTGTATCATGTGGCACCGCTTAGCGACCCACACCATGTATGTAGACTCGAGCTCCCTCGAGCTCTCCTCTTCTCTTCAGCTTAGAATCTTCGAATAAGACAGTTCTAAGATTCCATAACCTACACCTTGGACGCCCACGGGCAACATATCGTACGTGTCGTCACAAGTAGAAGTTATACTATAGTCGCCGTAGGGCTACGGGGTATTATTATTATTATTATTATTATTCCTTTTAAAGTGCTGTGTGAGTCTGAGACTAAAGTAGCACGGCTGGGGGTTTCCCTCCAACAGATGAGTAAAGCTGTACTAAATACATGTTTGAGAAGGGGGTTATGGTCATTACAGTTCTTGGGTTGTTGGAAGCAGCTAGGCTTCTGGTTATGACAAAAGAAAAGTTGTTATGTTGTAGTACGCCCCCTCGTTTCACGCCCTGTACGCTACACTTCCTCGTTCTCGTCTTCCTCGTCCTCGTCTTCCTCGTCCTCATCTTCGTTCTCATCCTCAGTTGCGCGTTGTGTGTGCCATATTCTAGTGGCGATTTTGGTGGTTCGAATAAAGTCAAGTGTGGCCTCGACTCCTTTGGCGGTGTGAAGGAGGGATTTCATGGTGAACTCTCGAATATGATGCTTGAGGAGGTTGCGCTTTAGTACTTTCCTAGCATCCCCAGTTTCTGGACAGCTAAGAAGGAGGTGAGTGGGAGTCTCTTGTCTTCCACATCTACAGCGGTTGTTGGTAGTGTGGCCGAGCTTGTGTAGGTATGATTTGAAGTATCCATGGCCTAGCTTAAGCTGATAAAAGGCGCTGGCTATCTCTCTTTTTGTTCCTTGGGGGACGCAAGGTTTCGACAGAATCTTCCATGGGAATTCCCTTCGATACGAGTGTTGGTTAGTTGATGGTTCTGTGTGCCGGGGGGGTGTAGTAAGCTTTTGACGCCATTCTTTGTTCTGGGTCTGCCTGATCTTGACTCCTAGCATAGCAAAGCTAGTGAGTTGAGTGGATGGTTGGATTGTGGTGGCGGCTTTTGCAAGCTTGTCTGCTTTCTCATTTCCTGGAATGTCGGTGTGACCTGGTACCCAGTGAATTGTGGTAGTAGCTCCCTTGCTAACTGCCTTCCGGGCAGCTGTGATAGCTCTGATTTGGCACTCTTGCCCTGGGTTATCTGATGTGGTTTTTAGCCTCCGTAAACCTGCCTGGTTGTCGGAGTAGATGTGGAAATGGATCCCTGGTCTAGCGTGCTTGGCAGCGTATTCAACTGCTAGCGTGGCCCCTTCAACTTCACCGTTGTAGACGAGCTTGTTTGGTCCAATGTTGACTTTCTTTTCGTAGTGGATTCTGTTTGATTGAGGTGAGATTACAGACAAACCTACCCCAATTCCTTGGCTATTTTCTGTTGTTGTAGAGGATGCATCTGTGTAGATGAAAATGCTGTTATCTGAGTTGTTTTGGAGTAGACGGGCTACGGGGTAGTATACCTACTAAAAGCTAGTAATTATAAGTACTTCGTAATACTACTACTAAAACGTAATTATATTAAAATATCGCTTAGTAGTCCTTTTACTTATACTTAAGCAACTATTTTACTCCAAAAACATTACACTTATAGTATTACGTTATTTAATAATTAATTATATAAGTAGAAGTAGTACTAACATTTTCAATATAGTACCGCGGAATTTCGCACGGCCATTTCCGCGGTTTTCCGTACCAAAATTCCTTTAAGATATGCTCTGCATATAAGAACGAAGCTTGATGAGGGAGGGACGAATATCCGTAGATATATATACGGTTAGTCCCCATAGTATTTTCTGTGTTGTTGAGACGAACATCTCCATTGTCGCTGCGACTAGTTGAGGAAAGAAACAGCAGAACTGTGCAAATCAGAAAGTCTTAGTATGGTGTGGAAAGACAGACATACTCATAGATGATATAGTATCATTTAGTTTCTGTTTCATAGTTCAATTACCACGGCTGGTGGGTGAAATATGAGGTGGGTGATGTGTATGGTGGCTTGAAATCCCAAACTGAGAAATCAAGTTCATGGTCTATTCTATCGCTCACTACATTTTCTATAGATTGAAGAAAGGTCTTTAAACACGGGCTTTAGGTACCTCTCTAAAGATAGCTTTTTTTGATACACGACTATCTTCCCCCATCACCCCTCGACTTTCTTAATCCCATCATCATCCATCACCAAGTCCGCCTCATTAAAATCATCACTCGTCGGCAACTCAACATGAATATTCGCCGCAGTAGCCATCCCCATCTCCACACTCTCCGCCTCCACCTCCAACACATGTCCCCCCGCCTTCCGATCATCACTAATAAAATGCAAATGCTCCCCCGCAACCGCAAACCCCTGCCAACTCTTCGGCGATCTAAACCCCACAATCGTGGCATCCACATCCTCATACGTAGCAATAAACTGCTTATCCCCCAATTCCGACAGCGGCTGTCCCTTATACTCCTGACCCTTCACAGTCCTCGCCTTGATCCTCTTGAACCGTCCTACAATCCTGTAACTCAAAAACAGATTCTTAGAATGCCCATTGAAAGTTTGCAGTTCGCGGTCGATAGCGTCTTTGGATTCCAGCCGAACCGTTTTCGTCACTTGAGGGACGAAGTTGGTGGTTACGCCGAAGGGGATTTGGTCGGATGGGGAGGCTTCCCGCACCCGTCCTTCGGATTGCAGTTGGTAGACTTTCCCGTCCAGTGAGAGGAGTTCTCCGTCCATTCGGACGAAGGTTCCTAGGCCTTGGTTGCCTTTTTGGAGGAACTTTGAGACTGGAATACCCGTTTCGCTTATGCCGGACATAAGGGCGTTGATGAGGGAGTATTGGTAGATGTGGTTTTCTTCCATTTCGATTAATTTTCGATGATTGGTTTGGTCGTGAGTTGAGTGGCAACAAAGGACTCTGGATCCAAAATTGAGGGATTGAGAATGAATGTTGTTTTCTGGATTCGATTTTCCGGGCTGTAAACAAAATTATGAGGATCTGTTTAGTTATTAGTTATCAGTCCATATCAGTTTGCTATTCTTGGGCAGCTAAGCGAAAAAGAGGGGCCATGACATCATCACAAAAAGAGCAAGCTTACAATTATCAGATATTGAGATCTAAATTATTCTGATCTGCTTCGATGATTAGCCTTACTCGTGGTTCTCGAAGTTTTTCCTTTCTAAAAAGACGTGCGGATCAGGAAGCGTTAGTAATGTTCTTGAAGTGAAGCTCTCCATGATCCAACTACCCCGCAGTCCCGATTAGTAACATCGTGGATATCTCCATCGAGGTTCCATATTCCTTGTTTGGTCATGCGAGTTGCTTATTCAGGATCTAGCAGCTGTTTTCTATTACCATGTATCTCCTGATCACAAACATCAGGATATAAAACAAAAGATTTCTGGGAATTTTCCGGGGTATCTTCGCGTTCTATACACTAGCAGTCTCCATTTATCAAATTCCATCTGTTCCACTAGAATGTAGTGAGTGAGTGACGCCTGCGGCTGGCAAGGAATATTGAGGGGGTGGTGGGTGTTCCCTTGATTAAGTCATGACGAAAAAGTCAAAGACATTACATCATCAACACACCACCTCAGCTCATAATACTCTCACCAGCTTCTCTCTCTCCTCTCCCATTAACAATTTAATATCACTATCACTATCTCTCCCTCTTCTATCAAGCATCTAAACATCATCATGTCACAAAAAGAAGAAGAAATCCAAGTTGCCCAAATAATCGTCTCCTCCCTCTACAATGCCGGAGTCCGCGTCGTCTTCGGCATCCCGGGCGCCAAAATAGACGCCGTTTTCAATACCCTTATCGACCACCCGGAAATCAAATTGGTAGTTTGTAGACATGAACAGAATGCTGCCATGATGGCTGCTGCCGTGGGAAGAATCACGAGTATCCCCGGTGTATGTATTGCGACGAGTGGACCGGGGGCGGGAAATTTGACGACGGGTTTGCTTACTGCTACGACGGAGGGGGATCCGGTCGTTGCGATTGTTGGGAGTGTACCTAGGTAGGTTTGTGATCTTCTCTCCTTAAGGTTTCCTAGTTGGGATGAGACTAAGGAAACTCTAAGCTTTTGAACGAGGAGTACCATTAGTTCTACTTTTGTTCAATCGAACTACGCAGGCTTGGGCAAGTAGACTAATATTTATATCTAGGTTACTGAGTACAAAACACACTCACCAGTCAATGAAATCCATGGAAGTCTTATCACCGGTTTCAAAATTCGCTACTAACATCGACGTGGAAGACCAAGCTGCAGAAACAATCCTCGCAGGTTTCAGGAAAGCATCGACATCGCCAAAGGGCGCATCGGTAGTCTCAATCCCAATGGATATAGCAGCCGGAAAATCGATCATCACAGCTTTTCCTGCGGAAGCATTTCCAGCGCCGCAACTTGGTCCTTCAGACGAGGCATTGTTGCAAAAGGTTGCTAGGATGATTGAGAATGCTAAGATGCCTGTATTGTTTCTAGGAATGAGAGCGTCTAGTGAGAGGGTTGTGAATGAAGGTATGTCATGTGCATGTAGTAAGTTTTAATCTCTTGATCAAAAATTGACGTTGTTGTAGTACACAAACTCCTCGCCAAATTCCCAATCCCAGTTGTTGAGACTTTTCAGGCAGCTGGTGCCGTACCGAAAGAACTCAAGCACCTCTTTTTCGGTCGGGTGGGTCTGTTCCGGAACCAAACAGGCGATAGACTCCTCGCCAAATCTGATCTCATCCTAACAGTCGGTTATGATCCAACTGAGTACAACGCAAACCAATGGAATCCAAGTGGCGACTTGAATATCGTACATATGGATTTCACAGCCTGCGATTATGAGAAGTACTACCATCCATCTGCCGAACTCCTCGGCTCAATAGTAGAAAATACCGCATATCTCACGAAGGAAATCAAACAAGTAAACGACTGCATCAACACCGAGTTTTGCCAAAAACTCACCCAAGTCTTCGCTTCATGGCAAAGCCGAAAAGAACTAAGACGAGAATCAGGTCTCGTCCACCCTCTCCACTTTATTTCCCTGCTCCAAGAAAAAGTCTCCCAAGATACAACCGTTATTTCCGACGTGGGCACTGTATACATCTGGATGATGCGCTTCTTCTTCGCCTATCAACCGCGCCGCCTCCTCTGTTCCAACGGCCAACAAACCCTCGGAGTCGGCCTCCCATGGGCCATCGCCAGCTCGCTAGTCCAAGACCCACCATGTAGCCAAAAAGTCGTGTCCCTGAGTGGAGACGGTGGCTTCATGTTCTCGTCCATGGAGATGTCCACCGCTGTGCAGCAGGGATGCAATATCACGCATTTCATCTGGAATGATGAGGCGTATAATATGGTTGAGTTCCAGGAGGTGCAGAAGTATGGACGGAGTAGTGGGGTGAAGCTTGGGGGTGTGGATTTTGTGAAGTTTGCGGAGAGCTTTGGCGCGAGGGGTTTTAGGGTGGGGGATTCGAGTGAGCTTGAGGGGGTGATGAGGGAGGCGTTGGCGTATGAGGGGGTGAGTTTGGTGGATGTTAGGATTGATTATAGTGGGGTTAGTGAGTTGGCGAGGGAGCTTATACCGGAGGAGTTTGTTTAATTTGGAAGTTGGATGGGAAAAGTTTTGGATTTTGTCAAAAAGATTGGCCTTTTTAGGAAAATAATAAAAGTTAATGATGGGTTTTCTCAACTTCTCTAGCTTAGGGGATTCACGGCACTGAAATTGGACATATCTTGGAACAAATTCAAACAGTTTGTCTTCATCTGTAGACTTTATCGTTCGAACGAGTGTCGCTTAAGAGTCTCGTCTACATGGTTTGGTACAACTTGCCAAATTCAAAATGACTGCACGCAAAAGATACTTAGATATCGCGATCTTTCCAAAGAATAAGTAGAAAAATCTTAGACAGCACACTTTCCGGATCTGCAAACCAATTCTCCATCACAATCATCGCCAGATTGACAAGTAGCACCTATCACAATCAGCAAAACATTCTCATATCATGCATAACCAGCACTTACCTGCACAATGTCCGATCCACTCACAAGGAGGAGCGGTTGAACCAGAAGCGCACTTTCCGGATTTGCAGACGAGTTCTCCATCACAATCATCCGCAGTTTGGCAAGTGGCACCTATCATAATTAGCAAAACATTATTATTTCCTCTGGGTATAAAAAGAAAAGAACGGGAACTTACCGGCACAATGTCCAGTCCACTCACAAGTAGCAGCTGGCGGACCAGCAGTAGCAGTAGGAGTCGATGAAGTAACCAAAGTAGTCGGTGTACCAGGAGCAGATCCACCTCCAATTCTCTGGACAAGGGTGTCACCAAGAGCCTTGATGCTGGCCGAGAATTCATTGACGTTTGCTGCGTTCCATTTAGCCTTCGAGCCTGGGACGGCGTCTTTTCCTGTGAAGGCGATGTAGAGGACATCGGTTTCGTCGTGGCCTGAGTTCCCATTTACGGAGGTTCCGAAGCAGAGAGTTGCCATGGAGATTGAGGATTCGCCAATGACGGCTTTGGGTCCGTCGTCTCCGTTTTCGTCGCCCCAGATGCCGTAGAACTAGAAATTCTGTTAGTATTCAGATTGAGTACTGTAAAATTGAATTTCATCATACCATCTTATTACCACAAACCACAGCCATGAGACTGAGTGGGTTAATGTCGTTATTTCGGGGATTGTAGTTCTTGTATCCCGCCCTGGTACCAACATTTCCAAACACAACGTAAGGATGAACAAATGCATTCAAATCCTTAACATCCTGTCCATAACCTTGAACCACATCCTGGAATGATGTCTGGGACTGGGTATCACTCGAAGAACCGCAACGTCCATCGTCACCTGGTCCCTTTTGAATGCCGTCACAGTCAATATCCATGTCTGCCAAAGCACCGCCAGCCCCTTGAAGGTAGACGATCTTGAAATCGTCAACATGATCTCCGCAGTATGAGAAGGCTGTATCTGTAAGTATGTGACGCAAAAGATTGAATAGGGGATTTAGTACTGTTCGGCCCATCATCGTGAGCGTAAAACCCTGTGGCAAGTGGCTTTTTACATGTCCCTGTTTTCAAACCATCACGGAATGACTTGACATTTGCTGGGATATCCAAAGAAGCGCAGCCACGAATGGCAATAACAGCCGCAAGGAAAAGGGTGCTATAAGTGTGCATTTTGAGAGCGATGAAAAGTCAACTGTAATTCGAAGGAGAAATAGCCAGCAAACAATGTATAAAGAACGAATTGGATAGCAGTTCCTAGTGCTGATGCAAGAAAAACAGATTTGAGGGGAAAGCCTGATATATATGTGGAAATTGCTTCCTCCTTAATCTGCATGCATATCCTGAGAGCCTCATTCCAGCCCACGCAGGCGCAGCAGGAAGGATTCCATGATTAAGCCAATTTTGAACCACACGGCTATCTCCTGTCAGCTTGAAGGATGACACGATCTTCTTTAGACAAACGAGGCTACACAAGAAGCTTGTTTTTGTTTTTTTGCGACAGAAGGCGGTGGTTTGTCTTACAAGGAGCTGGGCTGGTGTGGGGTTGAATCTTTACTACATGGAGTACGGAGTTCTATGGCTGGATGAAAAAAGCAACATACTTTCCGCCGGAATATTTATAACGTGCGTTAGTAATTGTCAGAAATTGAAGATTGGTTCTTCTTGCTCAGATGTTCTCGCAAAAGATGCGGCTATTGGTGAGATTACCCCTGGGGGAGTTAGTATCACGAGACGGTCAGGATGCAGCTGAATGCCGAAATACGAGAACGTCAAACACTACGACCCTTAATCTGTATCCCAACAGCCACGTTTCTTATTATATCGAAATACATGTTTTGTCATGAGATGGGTTACATACCCGAGGGAATTAATTCCGCTAAGGAGCAATGACAGAAGGAATTGGTCATCCGAAACTTGGAGGCATCTTTGTGGGGAAACACAATTGTGGTTGGGCTGTCGTCTTTTAGTGGTGGGAGGCTAGCTGGATTGGGAAAAAACAAAATGAGGCATCGAGGCAAGTATCATATGGAGGGTTATCTCTGGAAGTTGGCTTCCGTATAGATTTTGGAATTTTCGGAGATGGGATAGTTTTGCCTTTGTAGAATATCAAAAGAAATATATTGAATGCGGAGGTCTTTTCATATACTAATCAGGTGATTATCACGTGGATTGCAATAAAGTTTTATTTTCAGGGACTACTTGAGCCTCAGAGGTTCATCTAACAGAGTCCTCTTTCTCTTTTTATCTGTTATTTACTTAAGGTAACAAATGCGACGTTGGAATGAGAGTCTTGACCACGTGAAAAGCCAGTACTCCAATTGAACGTTTTGAACTTCGTGTGTTCCTCAATTGATGGGGGTTGCATTATCTTTTGCTTCCCAAAACTACATAGAACTTGCATTTATCAAGGAAAAACAGGGAGGACATTTGTATTTTGGTACGTGTGAGTCCGTTGAGTTCGTCTGCCACTCCTCCCGATCCTAGTATAAGCTCTCTAATGATATCTATTCTCTTTCTTTATGAGTCACGCTGAGATCTACAGCTGATCAAAGCGACGTTGAAGCATCAAAGTGAGAGAGCGGTTCTTATCCTATACCATGAGAGAGATGTGGCTAGCACCCAGCAATTATCACACACTGCACTAACCTGAGAGCTCAAACAGCCACCGCGATTTACCCCCTGAATGCGCTAGCTAGACTTGTGGTATTTGTACTAGGACTTGTTATGGAATGGGCTTTGAGATCAAAGAATATTAGTATGGGGGCTTTTTCTAAATTGACTTCCAAGATATATTTGAATTGATGTGGACGACAGTATTACATGATATATCGTTCCGGAAGGAGCCACTTATCAGCATCGTAAAAATTGTTTTGAAACTTTCGTTCCTTGTAGAATTAGATTACTAGTGGAAGGACTCCTTTTGGCTAATCGTACGATTTTATTAATCTTAATATCTCGTCGTAGAATACTATTTAAGTCCTGTTTAGGGTTAGGTATTTATCTCCGAAAAAGACGTTAATAATTAATATATACTACCTGAAACCTTCGCTCTAAATTACATATATATTTCTATAATCCTTTAATTTACCTTTAACCTTTATACTCTTTATCTTTCTATTATCGAATACTATATCGTACTCCCTCTCGTCGTCGTCGAAATCCGCCGTGAAAGTTAATTTATAAATGTCAATTAGGTCGAATTTCTTTAGTATAATATCTACTATATATTTATATATTGGGTTGAAAGGGTATTGGGTACTGAAGGTCATGGAGAATTGATTGCATTGTAAAAGGTAGCTATCTAAGGTGTTTATATAAAGAGTGTAAGGTTTAGGCAGACATGAAGCATTTAGGCAGCAGAGCTATAAGTGGATCAAATAAGGAAGTGGAGCAAAAGAGAAAGTAGACCCAGCACAACATTATAATTAATCCCCTAAAATTATAGTAGGAGTTACTTTTATCTATCTAATAGCTTACCTTTATCATTATTATCTACTACCTAAACTTCATCCGCTCTCTATACTTATACCGGTCCTACTATAATACTAAATACTCCTCCTAGGTTATTTATATTTATTTATTTATTTATTTATTTCTATTTAATGTCAACCAGATTCTAGCTCGCGTGGGCTAGGTCCTAAAGAGTCTCAAAATAGGGCAAATGACGCTAGGGGGGTGCCCAGGCTACAGGGGGTGTAAACGGAAAGAGCTAATTTACAAGAGACAGTTTAGAGAGAAGCTCCACTTTCGGAACAGCTCTTATCCTTAATTAGTTCTAGAACCAGGGTAACAACAAAGGAGATATTTAATAAAAGGAAAAAAGAAAAGAGAAATAAAAGAAGGCCTGTCTATCTAGAGAGACAGATTTTAGTGTAGAATCCGGTCTTAAAGTAGACCTGGCTAAATAGCTCC